CCTCCTCGGTGGGATAATGTCGGAGGAGGTTGGCAGCCGTGGCCAGGATCGAGGCCCCCCCTGCCCCCGCCACCAGGTAGAAGCTGACGGCGAAGGTGACGTAGACCTGGGAGCCGTGGTACTTCTTGTGCTGCTGCTGCTGCGCCAGGATCAGCTCTGATGCCCAATAGCAGAACCCGATGACGGTGGCACATTGCAGCACTGGGAGAGACAGGGAAAACGGGAAGAAATGGGAGAAAAATCAGTCACAGGGTGGTTTGGGATGAACAGGAATGTGGGGAAGGGCAGAGCTTGGGGTGAAACACGGTGACAAACACCCGAAACCCAGCCAGAAATCCACCAAAAATGTGAGGCTTTCCCTGCAGGAATTCCCAGCTGGAATTCCCTGGCTGTACCTGTGAGGATTTCCCTGCAGAATTCCTGGCTGTACCTGTCAGGATGTGGGCGAAGGCGTAGCGCCGGGTGATTTTCAGCGCTGGGTGTTTGGGGCCGAACACATCGAGCAGAAAGGCCGAGAGGCTGCACAGGATTCCCAGGAAGCAGAAGGCAGCGATGACCCGGAGCAGCAGCACCGTCTGCGGGTTCATGCAATAATCTGGGAGAGAGGGACAGGGGTGAGCACCCAAAAAACCCTCTTTTCCACCCAATTTCCCCCTGCTCTGATCCTGCCTAGATCCTTGAGAATTAAAACCAGAACCCCCCAGATTCCACAAGGTTCACGACAGGGAAAGGGGCTGTAACACCTTCCCCCCCTCAAACCATCACAGATTTTAATAAATTGGACCAAATATTCTTTTAAATATCGTGTTCATTAGTGCTAATGAACATGTGCCACTGTGAGACATGCTGGGAATGAGCTCCATTCGTGCCTGAGGGGAGTGAGTAATGCTGGAAAAACAGGTGGGAAGGGGCCTCTCCAAGGGCCACAGGTAACCAAAACCAGGAAAATAGACATGGAATGCAGGTGCCTGTGGAGTTAAACCCATGGAGTTATACCCTCTTCCAACCCAAACCATTCCAGGATTTTATACCTGGAGTTGGATTTGTACAGTGGGGCCGTGGGTGTTGGTGGAAGGGAACAGGAGGATTTGGAGGGGGATAGAAGGGAGTCAGAGGGAGATGGAAAGGGATGGAGGGCATGGAGAGGGATGGAAGGAGGACAGAGGGGTTGAAAGGAGATGGAGGGGGAGGACAGGGGATGGAGGAGAATGGAAAGTGAGATGGAAGGGGGACAGAGAGGGATGGAAGCAGGATAGAAGGAGGTGAAGAGGATGGCACGGGATGGAGAAGGATGGAAGGGGCCGAAGGGGTCTCACCTCGGAGCAGCTCGGGGTTCACGTAGCCCAGCACATCGGCCACCCCCAGCTCCTGGCGGGCACAGGTGCCGCCGTGGATGCGGAGCCAGGCGGGCTCAGCCAGGGCGGTGCAGAGCGCAGTGATGGACAGAGCCCCGGGCAGCGCCGACGCCAAGCTCCGCTCCGGCTGCTTCGGCAGCCCCGCCGCGCCTCTCCGCCGCCTCCCGCCCGGCCCCGCCGGCCCGCCCGGCGCGTACATCGCGGCGGGCACCGGGGACACCGGGAACGGGACGCCCGACCCCCGCTCTCGACCCCCGGCAGTGGCTCCGGGACACTTGGCTGCGAGCCCGGGACCACTGGCAGCGGGCCCACGGGCACCGGGACAAGCGGCAACGGGTCCGGGTTCACCGGCAGTGGCTCCGGCCCCACAACAGCGGTTCCGCGTCCCCGATACCGGCCCCGGGCCCCCGACACCGGTCCTGGATCACCCGACACCGGCCCGGGGTCTCCACAGCGGCCCCGGACCCCCCGATACAGCCCCGGCCCCTGTCGGCAGCGGCTCCGGGCACCCCGCCCGCGTCTCCCGTTCCCGGTTCCCGGCCCTGCCCGTTCCCGTCCCCGCCCCAGTTCCGGCGCGGCCGTTTCCGCTTCCGTGCTGTCCCTGCGATGCCCGAGGCGCTGTCGCTGCTGTGCCGGGTCCCCGCGCACCCCGAGTCCCGCTGCTGGGCTCTGGCCTGGAGCCCCGGCGGGGCCCTGCTCGCCTCCTGCGGGGGGGACCGCGCCGTGCGCGTGTGGGGACGGGCGGGTACGGGGGGAACGGGCCGGGCGGGACCGGGCCGGTGTGAGGGAGAGCGGAGCGTGCGGGGCTGGCAGGGGGAGGAAGGACCGGGGCTGGGCGGGTACGGGGTGTGCGGGGCTGTTCAGGTAGGGGGGACCGGCGCGTGCGGGGGGACCGGGGTGTGCGGGGCTGTGCAGGTGCGGGGGAGCCACGGGGGAGGGTGGGGGGCTAGGAGGAGTGGACGGGGTTACAGGCTTGATGTGGGCGCGGCTTTCCTGGGGGCGGGATTCATCGCCTGTGTAAGCGTGGCTTGGGGGGACGTGTCCCGTGTCTGGGGGTCCCGTCCTGGGCTGGGTAAGGCTGGGAGTGACTGGGGCAGGGCTGGGGTGGCAGGGGCTTTGCCTGTGCCCATGGGGTCCCATCCCACCCTCCCCAGGCTCCAGCTGGACATGCCGGGCAGTGCTGGGGGATGGACACCAGCGCACCGTGCGCAGGGTCGCCTGGTCCCCCTGTGGCTCCTACTTAGCTTCCGCCAGCTTCGACGGCACCACCTGCATCTGGAAGCGGCAGGAGGATGGATTTGAGGTGAGACACCCTCCCCCTAGAATACTCCCAGCCTCCCTGGGGCCCTCCAGCCCATCCTAGCTTTTGCTGTTCCCCTGCAGTGCGTGGCCACCCTGGAGGGGCACGAGAATGAAGTGAAGTCGGTGGCCTGGGCACCCTCGGGGTCCTTGTTGGCCACGTGCAGCAGAGACAAGAGTGTCTGGGTGTGGGAAGGTGAGGAGGGGCTGAGGGAAGCTGGGAAGGACCGAGGGGGTGCTCAGCCAGACCCTCTCAACTGCTCTGTCCCCCCACAGTGGATGAGGAGGAGGAGTACGAGTGTGTGAGTGTCCTCAATGCCCACACACAGGATGTGAAGCATGTGGTGTGGCACCCGAGCCAGGAGGTGAGAGTCCCCTCAGGTCCCATCCTGTATCCCCCTGCCCCTTCCCAGTCCCTCCTGTGGTCCCATCCAGAGTGACTTAAGGTCACTTTGCCCCCATACGTGCCCCCCTCAGCTCCTGGCCTCTGCCAGCTATGACGACACAGTGCGTCTGTACCGGGAGGAGGAGGACGACTGGGTGTGCTGTGCCACCCTGGAGGGACACGACTCCACCGTCTGGGCTGTGGCCTTTGACAAGGAGGGGGAGCGTCTGGCGTCAGTCAGCGACGACAGGACCCTCCGGGTGTGGCGCCGGTACCACCCAGGGAACAAGGAAGGTGAGGAGTGGGGGAGGAGGGAAAGGGAGAGAGGAAAGAGGAAGAGGGAAAAGGGAAAGGGGGGAGAAAGAGGGAAAAGAGAGGGAAAAGGAGAGAAGAGGTAATGAAGGAAAAGAAAGAGGGTCAAAAGGAGAGGAAGAGGGAAGGCAGAGGGAAAAGAGGAGGAGGGAAGGAAGTAGGAGAGCGGAAGGAAAGGGAAATGAGGGAAAAGGGAGGAGAGGGAAAAGGAAGGAAGAGGGAGAAGGAGAGAGAAAAGAGGGAAAGAGGAAGGGAAAAAGGGGAGGGAAAGAGAACTGAGCTCTCTCACCTCCCTCCAGGTGTGGCCTGCAGTGGCACTGATCCCACCTGGAAGTGTGTGTGCACCCTCTCGGGGTATCACAGCAGGACCATCTACGATGTATCCTGGTGAGGGGCAGGTATTGGGGGCATCCCTGGCCGTGTCCCTTCCTGGTGACACCCACAACCCCTCCAGGTGCCACCTCTCTGGGGCCCCGTCCCTCCCTCTGATTGCTCCAGGTGCCACATCACCAAGGCTTCGTCCCCTCCCTGTGACTCCTCCAGATACCACCTCCCTGGGGCACTGTCCCTTGCAGAAGCCACCTCCCCAGGTCCCATCCTCTCTGTATGTCCCCCAGGTGCCACCTGACAGGTGCTCTGGCCACAGCCTGTGGTGACGATGCCATCCGGGTGTTCGAGGAGAGCCCCACATCGGAGGAGGCCCAGCCCACCTTCAGCCTCACCACCCACGTGCCCCGGGCACACTCCCAGGATGTCAACGGGGTGGCCTGGAACCCCAAGGAGCCAGGACTGTTGGCATCCTGCAGTGATGATGGGGACATCGCCTTCTGGAAGTACCAGAGCCCCGACGGCTGCTGAGGGGGACAGACCCCACTGTGTGTCCCCCTGAGCCCACCGTGGCTTCTTCCTCCTCACCTGTGGGAGGCCAGGACAGCTGTGCCAGACTCAGGTTGGATCCAGGATCTGGAGCAGGACTTTCTCCCCTCTCTTCCCACACCCAATAAATCCATGAGCTCCTGGCCTCTGGATCTTCCTTTCACAAGTGCTTTGGGGGTTACAGTTCTTGGGTTGCTGGTTGGACTTGATCCTTAAATCTCTTCAGCCTTCAGGATTCCATGATCACACACCTGGGATCTTCCTTTCACACTCCTGGAAGCCTCAGAGTGACCCAACAGGGCGCTCCCTGGATATGGATGAGGTGGCACAAGGGGACAGGACCACCCAGGGGGAAGCACTGAGGTGTTGGGATCATCATAGTTTTCCCAGAAATGCCCTAATTAGTGCTGCTAATGAGCTTGTTGAGCCTCAGAGTGAAGGCAGAGTTCAGCGAGTCTGGCGTCACACCTTTTCCCCCTCCCCACCCCGTCAGCACAGAGTCAGGTCCCAGGATTTATTGCAGTTGCTGTCATGTAGCTCCTGCCTAGAAAACACTGTACAAAGCATCCACACCTTAAAAAAACAAAGGAAAACACGTGGAAAACACATGGAAACAACACAAAGGGAGGGGACATGAGCGCTGTGGGGGTTGGGGGTGGAGGGCTGAGCTCTGGGGGGATCCTCTGGCCCAGGATCAGTCGGAGTCGCTGTCGCTTTCCGCCTCCTTCACGTCTACACTGAACTTGTACTCCTGGTCACAGCCCATGTAGGCATCACTCATGAAGTACAATGTGTAGTTGTGAGTCCCCGTGGCAGGAGCCACAAAATCCAGCTTGACCTGGGCAGGGAGGGGGAGGTATTGGGATGGCAGCGAGGACAGCAGGGAAGGTGCCCACTGCCACCCCCGGTGCCACCCCCCACTCACCTTGGCCTTCTGCTGCAGAGTCAGGCGCTTGATGGAGATGAGGCTGTTGGACTTGGAGTCTCCAATCACCACCCACCAGCCCTCCTCACGTTTCTGAGGGGGAGGGAGGAGCAAACAGGTGAGATTTGGGGACAATTCCCCCCCCCCAACCTGCCACCTTGGTGTCACCATACCTGTGGGAACAGGGGCGCGATGACAGGCCCTGTGACCTCCTCCTCGCGCTCCAGCTGCACCAGCACCACCACGGGCCCTCCACTGCAGGAATAGAACCACAGAATAATGGAATGGTTGGGGTTGGAGGGACCTTAAATCCCACCCAGCTGGAGGGACCCCAGGGCCACCCACCTGCGGATGCTGTCCTTGTCCACAACCTCATAGGACAGCTCGATGTTGGGGTAGCGGTTGCAGAACCGGGCGACATCGGCGATCTGAGCATCTGAGAGCTGCAGCAGCGCGTTCCTGTCCTCGTCCTCCATCTCCATGATGTCAAACACGCTCTCCACACCCTGCAAAGAGGGATTTTTTTCAGCCTGGAGCTTCCTGGCACTCTGAGGGCAGGACCCTGGTGCTCCTCCCACCAGGATTTACCTTGTCTGTGCAGCGCTTGATGTGCTCTGAGGTGAAGTGAGGCAGCTGTTTGAGGTAGGAGTCCTTGGACCACATGGCCTGGGTGACCATCTGGGCCAGCTCCATGGCAGCCAGAGCCGGGCTCAGCCACCCATTGCTGGACAGCACGTCCACGCAGGCCTGGATCAGCCGGATCGCCTGGACATGGGGGACAGGGACGGGTCACGGGGTGGAGACAGAAATATGGAGGGGTGGGTTGGTGTGCCCAGGGTTTGGGAGCAGATGGGCTACAGGGTTGGATTCAGTGAAAAGCTGCCAGAAGTTTCCCCCATGTCCAGCAGAGCCAATTCCAGCAGATCTAGGATGGACCCACTGCTGGCCAAAGCTGAGCCCAGCAGGAATGACAGTGACACCTCTGGGATAACATGTTTAAGAAGGAAAAATTTACAGCACAGATGGAATTGGGTGCAGGGAGGAGTAGAGTGAGAATGTGTGAAAGGAGCAGCCCTGCAGAGCCGCAGGAACAACGTGGAATGAACTGACTGTGACCCCCATTCCCATCTCTGGAGGGAGGAGGCAGAGCCTGGGAAGGAGGGAGGGGTGAGGGGAAAGTGTTTTTTGAAGACTTATTTAACTTTTCATTATCCTGCTCTGATCTGGTTGGTAATAAATTCAATTCCTACCCTCATTCAAGTCTATTTTGCCCATGGAGGTGATTAATGAGGGATCTCTCCCTGTCCTTATCATAACTCATGGACCTTTCCCTGTATCTTCTCTCCCCTGTCCAGTTGTGGAGGGCAGTGACAGAGTGGTTTTGGTGGGTCCCCCAGCCCCACCTTGCTGAGGATCTCCTCGGTGTCTGACTGCAGCTCCGCGCTCAGCTGCATCCGGGACAGGTGGGCTTGGAGCAGCAGGTTGGTCTTGACGTGGGGATCA